TTCACGGATGGAGGGCGGGTAGTTTTCAGAATGTGGCTCTCGCCATAGCGCCGCGCACATTCGTCTTAAAAGTTTGCAAGAGCACGGATGGAGGGCGGGCCGCTTTCATAATTTGGTTCCTGCCTTAGCGCCACGCAGATTCGCGGTAAAAGTGTTCAAAAGATTCACGGATGGAGGGCGGTTCATTTTCAAAATGTCGTTCTCGCCTTGGCACCGCGCACATTCGTCTCAACAGTTCACAGCCGTGTCTAGGATTCTTATGGCTGATGTCCTAGAAACGGTGTTCTGGTACGATTTAAGGTTGTCAGGTCACGACAGTTAAGTTGATTCGCGGTACAGGTAATTACAGGCGTCCTCGACATGATATCCTGGAACGATTTCGGATCGTCAGGTCGTGACAGTAATGTTGATTCGCGGAGTTGAAGTCCCAGGAATGGTGCTTCGGCACGGTCGAATTTTTGCGGACGGTTGTCTTCCAACGGAGCTTCTCCAGAAATGAAAATGAATCCTTCTAAGAGCAGAATTATGAAAGGTGAAATTCGCTGGTCCAACGGGCCAGAAACGTGCTAAAATTTCCGGCAAGAGTTTCAGAATGTTTCTAATTCGCGCGCGCGCGTGGCGTCCCTTGGGGGTCCCCGGAAGACAAGAACCCCGGCAATGTCTAGGCAATGTCCAGGCAAGTCCCGGCATCCAGGCGGGTGCCCGGCAGGTTCCTGGCAGGGTCGGGTCAGGAGATGCCAGAACTCCTGGGCGCGGCCTCGGGGGCCCCCGGAGCGCCCCAATGAGGCGCCAAATGGGTGGCAGGCCCCACGGCCTCAGGCCAAGAACGTCCCAAGATGGCCCGCGTTGGTCCCAAGACAGCCTAAGACGCTCCAAGTGGAATCCAAAAGGACTTCGAGAGGCCCGGAAAACGCAAAAAAACATTGTTTTGCGTGGGCTTTCGGACGATTTTGGCGGTACCGCCTTTTCGAGCTGCCGAACGCAGTGGACCGCCAAAGAGAACCCAAGATCGCTCCAAGACGGCACAAAAAGCCTCCAAGAGGGCACCAAAATGGTGCAAGATGGCCCTAAGACGGCCCAAGAGGCCTCCAAGACGGCCCCAGGATGGCCCCAAGTGGGGGCCCAGAGGGGGAACCCGAACGGACATTTCGAGCTCTTGGCCCCAAGAGGCACCCAGGAAGCCTCGAGAGGCTCCCAAGAGCCCCCCAAGAGGCCCTAAGATGCACCCAAACGAACCCTAAAGAGGCCCCAAGACCTCCAACAGGACCCCAGGAAGCCCCAGGAGGCCCCCAAAAAAGCTCCCCAGAAGCCTCAAAACTGCTCCCCAGAGGCTCTCCGAAGACCCCACGAAGCATTCATGAGGATTCTGACCCACAATCCAGGTACGTCTTGAAACTCTGCTGGAGCTCTCTTGAGCCATCTGGGCGCCCAATGGGGCAGTCTATCGGGCTCTCTTCGACAGCGTGGAAGCCACGTGTCACATATTCAAAAATCTCCTCGATGACGTTCCTGCCTGCCCTACCGTTCCACCTGGGCACGAGCACACCACCACGCAGGCACTGTGATGCGAAACGGGCCGGCAGAATGAGCGAAGCGATTTCATCAATCCTTCTAGGAGCCTATGAAAAGGCAACTTCGAGAGAGGGTTGATTGCAACATCTTTGACGAGTCTTGGGTGTAGACTGGTCCTCCTCCTGCGCCTCCCGGGGGGGAAACATCCAGCGGGAATCGGCGATGCATCGCCGACAGGTCGGCGACAGGCGCCCGATGGCGAGACCGCACACTCCTGGGCGGAGTGGGCCATCGGGCATCCCTGTCGACGATCAGTAGGCGAATGGAGTGGGTGCATCATGCATCCCCCCTGGGCCGATCCCTCCTGAGCATGCCCCCCCGGAGCCGATCCCCCCTGAGCATGTCCCCCCTGGGCATATCCCCCCTGAGCCTACCGCCCCTGAGCCTTATCCCCCCAGATCGCTGCCCCTGATCGCTGCCCCTGAGAAGCGCGTCGCCGTCGCCGCAACCCCTCCCGGCCGACGCGCGCGCCCTCGGCCGCCGCTTGTATGCTCGGCCGCGGCGGCGATCCAGCCGGGCCGGGGGAACACGAAGAGGGGTGGCAAAGGACTGACTGACTCGCTCGCTCACTCACTCACTCACTCACTCGCTCACCCATTCGCTCACTCGCTCACTCACTCACTCACTCGCTCACTCGCTCACTCACTCACTCGCTCACACACTCGCTCACTCACTCACTCGCTCACTCACTCACTCACTCGCTCACTCACTGTCGCAGCATAGCACGGCGGGATCCCCGAGCTAGACTAAAGACACACTAAGTCCACAGGCTCATGCGTCCCTTAAAAGACACGGAGGTTCATGAACGACAGCAGGTCTCCTGCTAAGGCCCACAAGGTCTTGGAGTCCCGGGTGCCCTGAGGGTTGAACCTTGTGGTCCACCCTGTCTGGTCCCACCTGGTTACACAACCCTGAGACGACCTCGTGAAGGTCTTTGAGGGGGATGTGGAGGCTGGGCTATCTCAAGTTCTCCTGACCTGTGACACAAGAATGCCCCTGCTGAACCACAGCTGCAGCTGCAGTTGTCTGAACCATCTGAGCAGAGACTGGCAATGGACTCCCAACCATTGATGGACTGGAAAAGTTCGCACAGGGTTAAAGAGGACAGAGGGAGAGGGAGGAAGAGGAGGAGGAGGAGAAGGAGAAGGAGGACGAGGAGGACGAGGAGGAGGAGAAGGAGGAGGAGGAGGAAGAGGAGGAGAAGGAGAAGGATGACCAGTGTAAACCTAAGACACATCAACGATGTTGCAATACACCCTCCCTCCAAGTGTCCTCCTCGACGGTCCCTGAAAGAAATCATTTTCGGAAGGTGACCCATCAGAAGACAGCGGTCTGAGAATCCTCAATCTTTCCAAAACAACCGCCCCTGGTACTTCAACGTCGCGGATCAACATGACTGCTACGTCCTGACAATCCTAAGTTGCGCTAGAGCACCACTCCTGGGACTTCGACCATACGACCTCTCGAAAATACTAAAATAGTCTCAAAACAAATAAAACAAGTGCGCGCGGCGCTCAGGCAAGAGCCACATGTTCAAAAGAAACCGCCCTCGATCCGTGAAACTGCTGCAAGCTTTAATGGCGAATGTCCGCAGCGCTGAGGCGAGAGTCACACTTTGGAAATCGCCCAGCTTCACCTGTGAAACTGCTGAAATGTAAAGCTTGAGGATCTTGAATAGCGCGAAAGTCTCTGGCGAAACGCCCGCCCCTCCCTGCCAACACGTCTGGGGGTGCGCCCGGGAGGAGTTACTGATTATGAGGATAGTGGACGGAGGAGAAGGACGACGACGACGAGCAGCAGGAGCAGTAGGAGGATGAGGAGGAGGAGGAGGAGGAGGAAGGGGGGAGGGAGGAGGAGGATGAGGAGGAAGAGGAGGAGGAGGAGGAGGAGGAGGAGGAGGAGGGGAGGGAGGAGGGGGAAGGGAGGGAGAAGGTGGAGGAGGAGGAGGATGAGGGGAGGTTGGTTGTTGGTTGGTGGCCCCCCGGCGGGGCGGCATTCGGAACCCCCAGGCTGGGTTCCTTTTAGGCAGGGGGCCGCGAGAGCCCGGAGGGCAAACGCAAGCGGCCCGAGCGGAGGGAGGGAGGGAGGGAGGGAGGGAGGGAGGGAGGAGGGAGGGAGGGAGGGGAGGGAGGGGAGAGGAGGGGAGGAGGAGAGTAGGAGGCGGAGGGAGGAGGAGGGGGAGGAGGGAGGAGGGAGGAGGGAGGAGGGAGAAGGAAGGAGGAGGAGGAAGGAGGAGGAGGAGGACGACGACGAGCAGCAGCAGCATCAGCAGCAGCAGGAGCATCCTGGCGCCACAGCGGGCCGTGGCGCCCCGGCAGGCCGGCGCACGCGGCGCCGGCGCGCGGGCCGCGCGGCCCCCGCGGGTCGCCTGGACATGTGCAGCAGGGCGACGAAGAGCGCGAAGGGGCACCTCGCGCGGAGGCGAAAGGGGAACACAAATCAGTACACACAAATCCCAGGACTCCCCATATTTCGTTAGATTTCCTGGGTTTTCGTCTTCACCCCCACTTCCCATATTTTCCCATGTTTTCCTGGGAGCCGACGATGACTTGTGTCTGCGTGTTGTTCCCCATCCTGAGCAATAACCTAACCATACAAAATTCGGAGAAAATGCTTCTCGGGACACGCTGCAACGCCAGACAGGGCCCCGCGACAATTCTGGAGCGGCGGAGGTGAGCTGCTGGATGGCACCACCACCGTCTGGCTTCTAATCTGAAACCATCTTAGCTCTCAGAGAGCTATCCAGGAATCCGCCGACCCTGTCGGCGTGTGCGAGGGGCTTGGCTGTTCGAGTCGTCGTCTCCGTCGGTCGTCGCCTCCGTCGTCCCCTTTCCCTGCAGCTTCCTTCTCAAGCTCGTGAGCGAGAGAAAAATCGAGCAGTGTTGTAATCGAGTCGAAGGGAAGCCCCTTCCCTTTGATCCCTTCCCCAGGGGGGGGGGTCCCGGGGAGGGGTCCCGGGGGGGTCCCGGGGGGGGTCCCGGGGGGGGTCCCGGGGGGGGTCCCGGGGGCGGTGGGGGATGTGAAACAAATAATGTCAGTGCTGATCTGTAAGCAGTGTAGCATAGCGTGCCAGCAAGCAAGCAGAATGTGCTAATATTCAGACGGAAGGTGACATGTCCTTTCGTAACCATTTGGGCTCAATCCTTTTCAGGGCCCTTGAGCTTGGGCGTATCGGTAGGCACCTTTGCAGGTTCCGCTGAGCAACAAACCATCGCCTATCATTGCTGATACATTTACGTCATTGATGACAACGACAACCTCGCGGTTATCATCGCACCTATACCCCTCATCGCAATATCGGGTCTGCATTGGTAGCAGAAGCTAACTCGACCACGGCAGCTACGTGCGCGACTTCGCAGAGTCATTTGGCAAGCACTACAGGCTCGTGATGCGGATTGCGACTGTACCTCTCATTCGAGGTCGCCACCATGGCGACGGCAGGAGGAGCCGCTGCAGCCAGCGGCGAGGACAAGAGCAACGGGGGCAAGATCCCAGTACCCGTCTTCGATGGCACGAGCAAGACCATGAAGAAGCACCGCCGAGAGGTCGCCACCTGGCAGATCGGGACCGAGGTCAAGCCGCCCAAGCAGGGAGCGACCTTGCTGGCCAGCCTGAAGGGCAAGGCCGAGGAGGCGTGCGAGGAGCTCGAACTCGACTCCATCAAGGGCGACGACTCGGTGGAGGTGTTCCTGGAGTACCTCGGGAAGCGCTTTCCCGAGATCGAGGTGCCGGAGACTCCAGCGCTGCTGGAGACCTTCGTGCGCCCGGCCTGCGTCCGGCACGAGTACGAGGAGATCCGCGACTACAACAACCGCTTCAACGGGATAGCCACCAAGCTGAAGGCCAAGGGCATCCAGGTGCCCAACGAGGTCCTGGCGGACCTGTACATCAAGGGGGCCCGCCTGCCCCCGGAGCGCGCGGCGAGCGTGCTCAACGGCGTGGGCAACAAGTTTAACCCCACCAAGATCCAGGAGCAGTTGATGATCAACTTGCCCAAGGTATCGGTCGTGGACGGCCACAAGGACAGCCACGACAAAGGAGGCTACGGAGGTCACAAGAACAAGGACCACAAGCGGGCGTACGCCACGGAGACCTACGAGGAGGATCGTAGGGCCGATCTCGACGGCGCGTCCTCAGACAGCTCCGACGACTACGAGGACGAGCTGCCCGACGAGCTGCAGGACGCGATCGACGAGGCGGAGGAGCAGGTAGCCTTCTTCACCAAGAAGATGGTGCGCGCCAAGGACAAGCTGAAGGAGGCGAAGCAGGCGCGCGGCTACTTCGCCAAGCGCGACGGCGGCAACCCGCCGAAGAGAGACGATCCCAAGATCGCCAAGATGAAGGCAAGGACACACTGCGGTGCATGTGGCCAGAAGGGCCATTGGCGCGGTGACCCGCAGTGCCCGAAGAAGAACGACCCTAGCGCCAAGGCCGACATCCCGAGGAAGGGAAGCAACAGGACGAACATCGCCACGAACGAGACCAGCGACGCGCAGGAGCCTCACGCGGCGGAGATGACGGTCGCGGCGGTCTACCAGCAGGACCAGCGGGCCGCGGCTCGCGACAGGAAGTACGGCGCGCTGCACAGCATCGACTGGACGCAGATGCGCCAGGCCGCCGGGCTACCCGAAGAAGTTACGGCAGCGGCGTTCTTCATCAATAAGGACCACCAGTGCCTGATGGCCGCGACGAGCTCGGCGCTTATCTACCTCAGCGTCGAAGACCTGCTGAAGGAGTCGGGGGGCAAGCTGACCTTCGACACGGCCTGCGCGCGGTGCGTCGGCGGCCTCGACTGGTACAACGACATCAAGAAAAGACTGGCCGCCTTCAACATCCAGCCCATCGAGTACCCCGAAAAGGAGCCGTTCCGATTCGGGGCGTCCAAGGTGGTGTTCAGCCTCAAGGCGGCGCTGATCCCCTGTTCGGTGAACGGCAAGGCCTTCACCGTCCGCATGAGCATCGTGCGCAGCGCCGCGCCAGGCCTGTTCAGCCGCAAGGCCCAAAGCGAGCTGGACACAGTCTACCACGCCGGAGACAACAAGCTGGACATCAAATCGATCGACGAGCACGACATTCAGATGGGGCTGAGCCGCGCCGGACACCCGACGCTGGACATCACAAACTTTACGCCGAGCTACAAGCCCGTTTCGGACGTCTCGGATACCAAGGCCGAGGTTCGTCTCCACCCTTGCGCTTCTTACCACGCTGAGACAGCTGCGGCCAGCGCCGCCAAGCCGGCGGTGCCCGAGGCTCGCCACCAAAGGGTCGCCTCGGAGGCCGACGAGTCTCAGTCGGACACTGACTGCGACGCGCTCGATAGCGCCGAACTGTTCGAGCAGCAGGTGCGCCAGGCCATGAGCGCATACATTCCATCACGTCAATCGTCGTCGGGATCGGAAGACGAGGCCTGGGGAGTGTGTACTAGGTCAGTCAGCACAGCACAGATTATGCAGACAAACCACGATCATGACGAACGAGGAGCTCAACCTCGCAGCGATCCTCCATCACGGCGCGTTCGATTTCAGCAGCAAGCAAGCCGTAGCGAGCCACGAGATCAGCCATCAGCACGCAGTCATCAAACTACATCATCACCGCAGCCATCCGGCTCGAGTTCAACTGTGGCTCCACCAGCGAGTACGACGCGTGCCGTGGCAGATCCAGCCACCGCAGCTATCTACGAACCAGCAGCCGGCGCTTACGCCCCCGCCGCACCAGCGATGTACGACATCTCCCAAGGAGACGAGCCCGGGGAGCAGCAACCAGAACTTGCCGACGACGAGTACTGCCCGCCCCCCGGCGATATCCAGCATGCGGATGCCGGAGCTGCAGGCCGAGGTGGCAAGCTACGACTTGGATGTGCGCGACGCCACGCACGACCAGCTCCGGGTGATCTTGCGCGCGCTGAGGGCCGAGGGCCGCGAGAGCACGCCGCAGGACAACTGCATCCCGGGGCCCGGCAAGAAGAACAAGGAGGAGCTCCAGCAGCTGTGCCGGGACCGCAAGATCGAGTTCGACCAGCGCACGACCGTGCCGGAGCTCAGGCAGCGCCTCAAGGGCTGGAAGGTCGAGGACGCGGCCAGCAAAGCCTCGGCAACGGTGGCTCATCCGAGCTCACAGATCACCGGGGACGACAAGATGCGCTTCGGCAAGTACCCCACGGCGGACTACCGCTGAGTGCTCAGGAACGACCTGGGCTACGCGCAGTGGGCGGTCCTGGAGCTCAACAGCAACCGGGCAAGCCCGCTCCTGGCGCGGTTTGCCAGGTGGGTCAAGGCGCACGGAGTGCAGCCCATCGCCCCGGAGAAGGCCAAGACCACCTTGGAGGCAGTGATGGCCGAGGAGGTGGTGCTGGACGACGAGTGGGCGGCGCCAGCGGCGACGACCACGAGGGCCTCAGCAAGCCAGGGGAGCTGGGCCGGGCATCGGCGCCAGCGTCCTCCGGAGCCGCACGAGATGGACACCAGCGACATGGGCTTCGAGAAGGCGGGCGAGACCGACAGGGAGGATCACCCGAGCGGCTCCCGGGAACCTCAGCAGAGCCGAGACTAGGCGGCGGTGGCCGCCAGGACGGGTTGCCAGCCCCGAGGCGGCGGCCAGGCATCAAGAAGGGCAAGCGCGTCGGCCTCCACTACCAGGTCACGGGCTTGCTGAGCGCCTTCGCCTTTCAGACGGTGCTCACCGCGGACTGGCTGGCTAGACCTCTCAAGCCAGTGGTGCAGCATGCTACCAGTGCTGCGGGAGACATGGTCGACCACGTCCAGAACGTCAAGGAGGCCGATAGCGTTCGCAGCCACCGCGTGGACGTCATGCAGGTGTTCGGAGGCGAAGGCGGCATCACCGAGGCGGCGTGGAAGCGCCAGATGACGGCCACAGAGGTGATCGACCGCAAGTACGGCTGGGACTTGCGCAAGCAGAAGGACCTCGACGCGACGTGCGACCTGCACTACGCCTCGAGGCCGAAGTTCGTGTCAATCGAGCTACCCTGCACCCACTACACGAACATCACGCACCTCAACTTTCGGACGCCGCAGGCCAAGCAGGCGCCCCGGCGGATCTGGAGGGCGGAGCGGCCGTTCCTTTTATTGGCCCGCGACCTCTTCAAGTACCAGCTCGACTCTGGCGACATGGCCATGATCGAGAACCCGGCCACCAGCCGGCTCTGGACACAGCGCGCGATTTTGGAGCTACTGGCAGACGAGCGCGTGTACCAGGTGAGGTGCGACATGTGCGAGTACGGGGCTCGACACTACAAGACGGGGGGACTCATCAAGCACCCCACGAAGCTGCCCGTTACCCATAAGGAGTTCGAGCAGCTGAAGCGCACCTGCAGCCACAAGCACCATGACCAGACCTTCGGGGACAACGTGGCGGTGCGCAAGTCTGGCGTTATCCTGCCAAGTTCTGCCGAGCGGTGGTACGCATCGTGGAGCAGGTTATTCGCCAGCAAGGTGGGCAGCGCGCCTACCAAGTGGACTGCCAGTCGCACTCGTCGCCCTTCATCGTGACAGTGCCCAGGGAGCAGGCCACCGCCTACGTGAACGACACCGCGCCCCTGGGAGAAACGGGCGAGCCTGATGGGGGCCCAGGCCCCATGGGCGGCGGAGACGACTTCGCCGACACTCACGACGTGCGGGCCGAAGATACTGTGGACGGCAGGATCGGGGTCGGCGCGATTACCTTCACAAAGAAAGCAGCAGCCTGCTGCAAGCCAGCCGAGCTGGCCATGCTCAAGAGACTCCATGTCAACTTGGGCCATCCGTCTAATGAAGATTTGGGCCGCAGTTTGCGACTCACAGGCGCTAAGTCGGCCACCGTCCAGGCCGTCGAGGGGCTGATCTGCGGGGTGTGCCGCTCGCAGCAGCGCCCGAGCGCGAGGAGACCAGCGCACCTCCACTTCGTGCAAGATTTTGGAGACGACGTCGGCTTCGACTGCTTCGAGCTCAAGGACGTCGACGGCAAGAGCTACTGGTACTTCAGTATTGTCGACCTGGCCACCACCTTCCACGTCGCGACGCTGATCGGTCGCAACACCAGCCAGGGGTTCGCCGCCGCGTTCGAGAGGTGCTGGGCCTCCTGGGCGGGCGTACCGGACCGAGTCCACTTCGACATGGAGAAGGGGTTCGGCGGCGCCCTCAGCGAGCTGTTCCAGTCATTCAACACGGTGCAGCTGCCCATCGCCAGTCAGGCACATTGGCAGCTCGGTCGCGTGGAACGCCAGGGAGCTTGGTGGAAGGAGCTCGCGGCGAGGACGATCGAGCACTCGTCGATCAGGGGCGAGGACGAGATGCGGACGCTGGCCATCATGGTATCGGGCGCGAAGAACTCGCTGAGAAGGCGAGCAGGTTTCAGCCCCGCGCAGTGGGTGCTGGGACGCGACCCCAAGATGCCTGGAGACCTAGTCGACGATACGGCCAACTACAGCGCCCACAGCCTCGCGGCCAAAGACGAGAAGATTCGCCGACGATATGCTATTCGGACGGCGGCGCGCGAGTCGTTCATGAGGATGCAGAACGACGACCAGCTCCGGCGAGCTATGTTGGCTCGCGCGCGCACGGTGGCGACGCCCTTGTCAGTGGGCGAGATGTGATACGTCTCCCGCCAGATCAAGAAGAAGGAGCAGCGGGAGCAGCACAACCGCAACGCCAAGAAGGGCATCTGTCGAGGGCCGTGCGTAGTCATCGGCCACCAAGGCGAGAACACCTGGGTCTCGCTAGGAGGGCGCACCATGCTTGTGGCCCCGGAGCACATCAAGGCACTCGCTCCGGACGACGTCTGGTTCCCGAACGGCAGGGACGAGATCGGTCAGGCCGTGGCCGAGCTCAACCGGGCTCGCGACTCGCTCGAACAGGAAGAGGCTCCGGTGGAGGACATCCGCCCGGCGCCTGGCGAGCCCGAGGTCAAGCCAGACGAGATGGAGCAGGCGTGGCGGGAATTTATCGACAACCCGGACGACAGCGACCTCAGGCTGAACGTATCCGGGGATCCGCCCCAGCAGGAGCAGGTCCAGGTGCTGCCCGCCGACGTGCCGCAGCAAGCTGAAGAGGAGCGAACCCACGGCCCTGCCGAGTTCCGACGACGTCAAGCTACCTTCGACGGAGGGGACAGCGGCGACTTCGGCCCGGCCTTCAAGCGCCTCCAGACCGAGAGGGAGCACGCAGGCTCTGGCGCTCTGGCGCCCTGCCCGCAAGGGAGGCGGCCGCAAAGCAGTGGAGCGAGTGGCAGAAGCATGGCTCTTGTCAGGTACTCTCCGTCGAGGAGTCCGAGGCGATCAGGGGCATGGCCAAGCCCGGCCTCATCCTGCCCAGCCGGTTTGTGTACCGGGACAAGAACGCCCCGCTGCGGACCGACAAGCATCCACTGCCGGTCAAGGCGAAGGCCCGACTCTGCGCCGGGGGTCACATGGACCCGCGCCTCGCTCAGGGCGACCTGCGGACGGACGCGCCCACGGTCACCCGCAACTCGACCACGCTGTTCTTCACCATCTGCCAGAGGTTCGACCTGGAGATCTACGCGGCGGACGTGGAGGCGGCTTTCATGCAAGGCGACGAGCAGCCCGACCAGCAGCTGTACATGGCCCAGCCTCGCGAAGGTCTGCCTGGGCTTAACCCGAAGCAGCTGATCAAAATCCTCAAGGGAGTTTTCGGGCTGGCGACGGCACCGAGACAGTGGTGGGCGAAGCTCAAGAGGACCTTGCTCGCGGTGGAGGAGAAGCTGAGTGACAACTACGTGTTTCGCCTACACCAGCACTCGCTGGACCCAGCGCTGTACTGCGGCTACGACCAGCACGGGGAGCTCTGTGCGGTGGTGGTCGCCCACGTGGACGACTTGCTGCTGGGGGTCTCGCACAAGTACCCGGGCCTCTACGACAGGCTTCACAAGCTTTTGCCCTGGGGCGACTGGCGAGGCTTGCCTTTTACCTTTTGCGGCAAGCAGGCCTGGCGAGATCAAGAAGGAGTGCTACATCTACAGCAGACCGAGCACGCGAACACCATCGAGGAGATTCCGCTCAGCAAGGAGCGCAAGACGGAACTGTCGTCAGATGCTACGCCAGCCGAGTTCTCGGACAACCGCTCCGCACTCGCAGCGCTCGGGCGGCCTTCATCGCAGACTCGCCCCGACCTGGCAGCTGGAGTGGCCATGGGGCAGCGAGCCCAGAACAAGCCCACCATCCAGGACTTGCTCGAGACGAACAGGCTCATCAAGCTGGCGCGGAAGCACGCGGACGTGGGTTTGGAGTTCCCTAAGTTACGCGGACCTCTGTGCCTGGTGACGTTCCACGACGCCATTTGGGCCAACGCTGATGAGCCAGCTGAAGGCGCCATCTCCAAGTTGCTCGCGAAGATCGTGGAAGCAACCAGTAAGGACAAGAAGATCAAGATTCGCTCGCAGGCCGGCTACGTGACTTCTCTCGCAGAAGCCAAGCTACTACGCGGAGATCGAGCTCGAGCAGGGATCGTTGATTGGAGATCGGGCACCATCAAGAGAGTTTGCAGATCTACGTTGGCAGCCGAGACGATGTCGGCAGTAGACGCTCTAGGCTGTGCTCAGATTACACGCTGTGGTTTCGCTTCGCTAGAGATTCCGGATGCCCATCCAGAGGACATCCCGCCGAGTCTGTTGCCGCTCGCTCAGGTCACAGATTGCGCCAGCTTGTGCGATACGATGCACAAAGACGGTTATTCCAAGCCCCCGTCAAAGCGGCGCCTTTTGCTCGACCTAGTGGGCCTCAAGGAGTCACTAGAAGAGGAAGTTAGCAACGAGTTCGTCGCTGACGATCAGCGCAGCCAGCTACCTCTCTTTTGGGTTCCGACTGATCAACAGCTCGGTGATCAGTTCACCAAGCGATCGGACGGCAGTGCTATCAGGGCAGCGCTGCGAGACACACGCCTCGCTTTGCAGCATCAAGAGCCGACTGACCAGGCCAGAAAGCACGAGGCACACCTGACCAGTGCCGGCTCACTTTTCAAGCGCGCGGTGCGCCTGGTCTCATTTTAGCTCGTTGACGTGCCAGTATCACGTCTAAATGCGCTATATCGGTAGATGCACAGATCAGAAGAATTTTGCACGAGTGTGAAACAAATAGTGTCAGTGCTGATCTGTAAGCAGTGTAGCATAGCGTGCCAGCAAGCAAGCAGAATGCGCTAATATTCTGACGGAAGGTGACATGTCCTTTCGCAACCATTTGGGCTCAATCCTTTTCAGGGCCCTTGAGCTTGGGCGCATCGGTAGGCACCTTTGCAGGTTCCGCTGAGCAACAAACCATCGCCTATCATCGCTGATACATTTACGTCATTGCTGACAACGACAACCTCGCGGTTATCATCGCACCTAGACCCCTCATCGCAATATCGGGTCTGCAGGGGGGGGCAGATTCGTTTTCCCTCGGGCGGCCTAGAAACCTGGCCCAAGTGCCCAAGCTCACGTGTCCAAGCTCACCAAGCTCAAGTGTCCAAGTTTGGCTCAAGTGTCCAAGCTCACCCGGCTCACATCTGATACCCTTACTTCACTTTTCCCTCACATCCTACCGTTTGCCCTATCATATGTTTCTCTCTTCTCTCCCCACTGCGGATCGAAGCCTGCCATGCCGGCGAGCACGCGGCAGCCAGGCACCCCAGTGCGCGGAGTGCTAGGCGAACGCGAAGTCCGGCAACGCCTTTTCAGTCCACTTCACGAAACGGACGGCCTGGATCTCTCTCCGCCACGTCTGGTGGAGGCGCAGATATCTACACCGGCAGCTCCAGGTACCCCGCCCGAGGCATTGGCAGAGGAACGTTCCTCAGGAGCATCTCAGCCTACCTTGTCTCAGATTGCGGAAATCATGCAACAACAGATCCAGCCCCTTCAAAATTCGATTTTGGGTTTGGAACGGGCAATGTCGGACTTAGGAGGCTCGCTTGAGTCGAGAATGGCATCCACAGAGACTCGCGTTGAGGACATCGAAATCCGCATCACGAGCATCGAGAATGCAATGTCCACCGACTCGAGGGGCTCCGGCGCAGGGTCCCAGACGGAGGAAGAAGTCTGAGAACACATCAAGTCATTGGAGGACGAGCTCGCGAACTTCAAACTTGCAACGTCCATGCCGACAGCGACCCCATCAGTGGACAATTCACGTTCTCTTACTGCCGTCGTCGGCGGCCTGAAAGACTGTGGAAACCCCGACGACGCCTTCAAGTTGGTCGGTGACGCTCTTTGGAGCAAGTGGGCACCTTATCCTGTTGACCACTACATCAAGGGCGAGTTCAACGGCATTCTCTTCTTGAAGATTACTTCTAAAGTCGACCGGGACATCGCAGTGAAGACCCTCAAGGAGGCAAGCATCCAGCACGGCCCCCACAAAGTCTGGGCCAAACTAGATCTTCCTTTGGATGTACGTGTGAACCAGTCGTTTCTTTTCAGCGTCAGGCGCATGATGACTGAGTGGGGGTACGACCGCAAGTCGGCGTGGGTAGATTTGGACTCAATGTGTGTGAAAGTTGGTTTCGATTCAGTCTTGTCTTCAAAAAATGATGGTGCCCAGCTCGCCTTTACGTTCACCACCGACGAATGGAAGGAATAACTTTCGCGCGAGGATTTGGGCGGGCTGCGCCTTGAGTCCGATGCGAAGCGGGCAAAAAGGGCCCCTCCAACCAAAGGCGCTGGCAAAGGGAAGCGGAAGCATAACGAGGCAGCCCGGTCGAACAACAACGCCTGCGCGCAGGAGCAATCGCTCTGGCTGTTCTGCAAGAATGCCCGCTTAAACGGCGATAGCAAACTTGCAGAGGTTTTGGCAGAGCGCGGAGAATTCGCTTGGGACTGCATCTGCTTTAGCGAAGCTAGGGCCGCAGATGGGGATGTCCTGTTGCAAGGGGGACACAGACTGTCAAGCAGCTTATGTGGACAGAAATTTGCAGGAGTAGCTCTGCTCATCCACGCCCGCTGGGTCGACAAAGTTCTCGACTACAAGGCCGTTTCGGGCAGAGTTCTACATTGCGACATACGTATTGGGAGGTACACCTACAGATGACAGATGGATAGCCGTCTACGTTCCGCACGCCGGTTACCCGCACGACGATTTCAGTGTTTGAGCGATATTCGTTTTGCTGTTCTGGAAGCCCAGAGCCAGAATTACCGGCGCGCGTCGGGCGGAGATTTCAATACCGAGGTTGGAAGAGGCAGGAGAAGTGCAATATTATCAGCTTTCGCTGCCGAGCTGGATCTTGTGATTTGCAACGTAGTCGAGGATGAGCTTCTAGAGTGTCAGTGGACTTTCCGCAGCTGCCTCGGACGACTCCGCCGTCTGGATTACGTCATGGTCAGCAGTTGTACATCTTTCCACAGTGCAAAGCCGACAAACATGCTTGACCTCGGTTGAGATCACAGGGCGGTGCAGGTGCGCCTTCAAGCTCCGGCGCTGGCTGGGCAGAGGAGTCGACGGAAGCGCCGGCAGACGCACAAAGACATTGATTGGGAGATGTATGCCACCAAGGTGCCCCAGAAGATCGCTGCTCAGGAGTTCCCTCCGGCATCTCTGGGCGACGTGGAGCGCATCGCTCTTCTTGCAGCTGGAGAGTCGCAGCGGCCCCGGTTGCCCGCCCAGCAGAGCAACGGGAGCAGCCATCTGGACCGTCTGCGAAGAAGGAAGAGATGCATGACCAACCCGGCCGAGAGACGAGATATCTCAAAGGAGAAATGGAGGCTGAGCCGGAAAGAGTCTCGTGCACGACAAACAGCCAGAACAGCTGAGGTGCTCGCTAACTTCAGTGATCTTCGTCGCCTGGAAGCGCTGCACAGATTCCCCATCACAAGATCTTCGCAACAGGGTCCAGATTTTCGCAAATGTGCCGACCTGTTGTTGGAGATATACACGTCCAGCGCGCCGCCCGACGCGGGTGAGCATGACGAGGACCAGGTGCCAGCCGCTACTGTCGAAGAAGTTGTGAAGGCAGTCAAAGCGATGAGACGACGCAAAGCTGCAGACACGAAGGGCGCGCTGCTGGAGATGTTCCTCTTTGGCGGAGACGATATGTTGCACTACTTGTCTGACATGTTCAATGCAATTTTGCAGAGCGGTTGCGTTCCGGCTGACTGGCGAGAGACCTTCTTCAAATTTTTGCACAAGGGCGGGGGCGCCGCAGACCCGAACAATTGGAGGCCGATCGCGATTCTCAGCGTCTCTTACAAGATCCTTGCTCGAGTGGTCTTCCACGGGATACGCGGCATTCTAGATTCGCAACAGTCTGAAGAGCAGTTTGGTTTTCAACGAGACCGGTCGACTGCTGACGCTCTGATTGTTGCCGAAAGCCTCGTGAGCAAGAGCCTCGAGTTCAACGAAGACCTGTGGCTGGTCAGCGTAGATCTGCGCAAAGCATTTCACAGGGTTGAACAGCCGGCACTGTTCCGCGCTCTCCAAGCGCAGGGACTCCCCTCTGGATATTGCCAAAGATTGCGAACGCTGTACAAATCTCAAACAGGCGTCTTGGGTAAAAATTTTCCGGTTTCCTATCACCCGGGGCGTCAGACAGGGCGACGTACTATCTCCGCCCCTGTTCAACAGTGTCCTGGAAGCTGCCATCCGCGAGTGGAAGGCGAAGCTGAACGGCCATGGCCTGGCTGTCTGTTCGGACGGAAGCAAGGAGCGTCTGTCGAACATTCGTTTTGCAGACGATTTGTTACTATTCGCCAACAGTGTGGAAGGGGCTGTGGACATGCTAGACATGCTCACGCAGACGCTTCGCAAGTATGGTCTGGAGCTCAACGTGAAGAAAACGAAAATGTTGTCGACGACGGTCACGGAGAATGACACTGTTCTGATCGAAACTGCCGATGGGTTCGTGGAGCTTGTGGCTGCTAACAGAACCCACAAATACCTTGGGAGGGCGTGGCCGGGCAACCTCCGACAACGCGGACAGGCTGCTATCGACCATCGCGTTTGCTGTGCATGGTTGAAATTCCGTTCTCTGCTAACTTCGCTGACGAATAGGCACGTCAACGTCAAGCTGCGTCTGGAGCTCTTCAACGCGACCGTTACACCTACGTTGGTATACGGGCTGGAAACTTGTGCGTTGGATCAAGCAGATGGACCACCTAGACATCACGCAGAGGAAAATGCTCCAGCGAATCGTCGGCTGGGTGTTCGACGATAGCGATTCGTGGGAAGATGCTGGCCACAGAATGAAGCAGAGGCTCGAATCTGCCAGGCGCCTGCACTATATTGCAGATTGGTCTTCGGTTGTATCAAAGCGCAAGAAGCATTTACTGACTCGTCTGATGTCCCACCATGCTCCGTCGCTGCCTAAACTAGCGCACGAATGGTCCCCTACTGCATGTGCGGCGCTGAACAACAGCCGGCCGCATCATGCCAGAGGCCGGCCGCGGCATCGTTGGTTTGACGACGTGCAGCTCTGACGGCGCATTTTTGTTCTTTCTCCCGAGCTCTGCACAGGGCCGACTTGTTCGATCGGGCGCAACGCAACGCAACGGCCTAGAAACCTCGAAAACACTCCAAATGAGGTCCGAATGCCCCAGATGGCCCCCGAGACGGCCCAAGAGGGCCCCGAGTCGCCCAAAGATCGGCCGAGAACGCCCAAGATAGCCCCAAGACCGTCCAAGAAGCCTCCAAGACGTCCCAGGCTCCCTCCAAGAGACCCCCAGGAAGCCCCAAGAGGCCCCCACGAGGCTTCCAAGCGGCCCCTAAGAGCTTCCCAAGAGGCCCACAAACTACCCCCAAGAGGCCCCCAAGGGCGCACGTCGTCGTCGTCGTCGTCGTCGTCGTCGTCGCCATTCAGGGTCGGCGGCACCGGCCGTAAGGCCTTCGTAATCCACCCTCAACGGGCGGCAGTAAGCTTTTTTTTGCAGGAACAGGAGATGGGAGCGGACAGCGATAGTATACACAACGCATGGTCGTCGCAAGGCTGCCCTGCGAACGTGGCCGAAATTCCGGCCGGGGAAGAAGAAACTACCTGTGACAATGATTGCCCGGGCGAGCGCGGACCCTCGTTACAATCCGTTGCAGG